TGCCCCTTTCCTTCCCCGCCCCCTTCACCACAATGGACTTACCAGCTGCACTCAGCTCTCCACGCTGCCAGGCACTCCTCCTCACTGCCCGAGTACTGCACTACAGCTACGCACACATACAAGCATTTAATCGGCCAAATTATCAGCTGCATCGTGCTGATTTCTGATACAGCCAATTTTCTTTATATTGGTACCGAACTGATATGGGCCCAATGTATCAGTGCACCCCTAGTCATGACCATCTTACTTGGACATACTTGTACTTGTTCAAGGGGAAAAGAGTAGCAAAGAATGGGGAAGAGAGAAAGAAGCGTTTGTCACTCTTTAGTACCCCATGAGTTTGCCAATGAATCTATCCAACTCTACACAACCTCCCCACCACCCCGTAAATGTACTGTGGTAATAAAAAAAAAAAAAGATAATAATAATAACGTGCAATAATCAGGAAACATTGTGAAAAAGAGCTTGAAAATAACTTTATTGCATACTGTTTTAGAAACCTCCAGTCACTTTTGTGACAAAACTAAAGGTTTCGGTTTACTCTATCACAGGGGCAGGGGTGGAGGGCTGCTTAAGGAGGTCTGGCAAACCTTCAAGGGCCATGTGGGTAGCCCTGCCCCTTGACAGCTGCCCCGCCCCCTGGTCACCATCTTAGGACCGGAAGCCCCACCTCCTAGCCCCTGACCTTTGCCACCGGACATCCCTCCCCTTGCCACCCAGAAATACTCCTTTTGGGAGGGAGAATTGCCATCTTAGAACCAGAAAAAAACCAAATCATACACTAAAAGTCAAACACCTACTAAGACATATTTTATTACAAAAAATATTTTTGTCATAATTTGTCTTTGCATAAGGTATCTAGAGATGACTGCATAACTCAAAAATAAAGTCTTAGTCTTGTATATTGTGTGGGGGGCATGGTTGTGGAAGTGTGAGGCGGTTGTGAGCGGGTGTGATATGTGGTGTTTGTGGAGTGTAAGGGACAGTGGGGGAGATGAGGGATGGTGGGGGTTATGGGGTCCCCTCCCACTCCTCCCTTGGTGCAGCAGCAGGCAGGGACACTCATGCCTGGCGAGGCATGGCTCTGCCCAGCGCTGCACATCATGGCAAGTGGCACAGCCCCCACTGGGCAGTCTCTATCAGTGGGGCTTCCTGCTGTGCATGTGCAGCCCCCATGCTCACACAGCACAGGACGGAAGTCCCACGCACTGGAGCCGGCTGCCTGCATTGCTCCCTGCCACACATGCGCAGCCCCTGCACTTGCGCAGCACAGGTGGGAAGCTCTGTGTGCTGGAGCTGGCTGCCTTCCTCACTCCCTGGACCAGCGTGGCAGGGAGTGGTGCAGGCAGCCGGCTCCAGCGCATGGGGCTTCCCTCCCATGCTGTACGAGTGCAGGGGCTGCGCCAGCAATAGAGACTGCCTGGAGGGGGCTGCAGTCCTTGCCGCGATGTGCAGCGCTGGTTGGAGCTGTGCCCCGCCCAGAAGCTGCATGCTGGCCAAGCCAGGCCCTTCCACCCACAGCAAGGAGTAATAAAGTATGTGACAAGTCTATGTATGCATGGGCGCCTCGCTCCCACCCTCGTAGGCAGAAGGACTGGGCAGGGCACAATTCATTGGTGTGAACCAAGGCCCAGATGGAAGTGCCCAGCAGGCTGGATCCTGACCCCTGCTGCATCGTCATATGAAAGGATTAATTACAGAACTGTGGTTCAGAGCTTTTAAAATGGTAGCCAAATAATATTTTTTTAATGTTTTTGTTGTTGTTTTGGGAGAGATTTTTCTGAGGGCCTTAAAAAGGAACATAAGATTATGACCATTCATTGCTGAATATACAGCAAAATGTAATTAAAATACAAACAAAAATGAAAAATGATTTTTTTTAAATATTA